GTAACCATGTATGATGCAGCACCTGCGCAATCCACTACTATTATCTATCTTTGTCATTGGTGTTGGATTCTAGTGAGAATTCGAAAACTGAGGCTAATAAGGCTCCTCTTTCAGCTATTATGTCACCTTCTTCAAGACAAATTAAAACCTCCGTATTTGATCATAGAATCTTTATCTTTGTCGTCTCCCTAAGGTAATTGAAACGCATCATCCAATAGTGTCCATGAGCATTTCGAATAGGCAACTCTGTCACTACATGTTATGTTAAAAAGCGATTCAAGGTCTGCATATTTGTCTAACGACTACGGTCAGTCAGGCAAAAAATTGCAGAAAAAATCAAAAGCGCTGAAGAAGCAGGCAGGTCAGTAGGAAGAGGGGTTTTTTTACACACAATGTGTGGCTTATCTCTTGGACCAAACCTGTGTAAGATTACTTTTGCAGTTTTAGGGAAAAATGCATCGAAGCGTTGAAAATAAACCTGAAGTTACCCAATAATCGTTAATATCCACACCAAAGCGTTCCCTCAGATTCTGAAAGGCTAACGGACAGTACTCCTTGAACTTGAACCGGCTTGGCATGTTTTCCCTAGAAGGAGTCACAGTATTTCAGGAAAACTTGCTTGTTGAAAAGATGTCCGGTGACCTTTATCTTCAGATAGGCTTTGAAGTCATCCTTCAGAAGAACAGCTCGGGGTTTCACGTGCTGGAGGGTGTTTACAGAGTGGTTGATACCCCACATCAGCACACTTTTAAGGGGTTCATTTGCCCGAAAAAGTTTCAATTTCTGACGTCCACCCTTCAGCTTCTTCTGTTTTGATTGGGTAGCCATTTACGTGCAATGTAGTTGAGTATCCAACAAAAGCACTTGTTTTCTAAAAGAAATTTTTGAAAATAGTCCAATTAGTAATTTAGCGACCAGGTTCTTATCAGGGGGACAGTCTAGAGTGATGGAAGAAAAATTTTGGTCGGTCAGGCTATCAAAAAATGGCAATCAATTAACAACAAACGCTTAATGCTGTCTCCATCAACGCTCAATGTATTTTCTACAACTAGGAGCATGCCTAAGCAAGCCGGTCGCAGAGAGAAAACGGCTATCCGAGCACGATGATTGGTTATTGCTGACTTGGTTATACCCTATTACTATTCCTGCAAACAGCGTAAAAAATCCACGATATCCTGAAGGATCATATGCAGCGGTAGTTTAAGAGGTGCCGGATTTAGTGCAACAACACAGAATTTAGCCCTTTTTCTCCCAAAAACGCTGTCGCAGTAACTGGGGATTGCCGTATTCAATACAATGGGTGTTCATGTATCTCGAAAATATTTTCCCTGACAATCGAAATAATCAACATTTCATTAGCTATCTGGCTGTACAGCTAAACATTCGTAATCACAAACAACATATAGTATGCGCGCTCTGTGCACGCGGTAATTCATAAATCACGGCACCATAGAACCATAAGCAAACTTGCAACAACACTGCGCAACATGCAAATAAGACAATATTTTTATATTTGGTCGGGCGGTTTGGAAGTAATTGGGCAAATAAATTAGCGAGACTGTCAATTTCTCCAAGATAATAGCTGTTGAGTATGAAAAACCGCAACCTTCAGCCTCAAGAGCAACCTTATCACCTAAAGCACTACATTTCATGGGTCAATAATTCAACACCAGCAAATTGATATGGTCAACCTAGTCAGGCTTACCTTACAATCGGCGTGGTGCAAGCTCTATCAGGTCAAACAACGGAAGCAGATTTGATAATTCACCGAATGACGTAGTTCAATAGCAAAAGGGACGGAATACAACGTAGGCGAATACCTGACGAAGTAGCAGAATAATAGAGCATATTGTGGGCAAGAACTCAAGTATCGATATAACGATAGCAGGTATCGCTCGTCGGAACATTTGTCGGCACACTACCTAGTGCCAAAATGCGTGTGTAGACTACCGCCGTACGCAACTTGCACAAAGTTTTGACCAGAATAAAGACAACACACGCCGTCTTCAACGACGGCGAGAATTCTAAGCTACGTACTATGGTTTCGGGCAGACCGAACTGGAAGATATTTGTTGAAAACCAGAGAGATGTGGCGTCATAACCCACCAGAGAAAGGCACAGCCTAGGGCAGGGGTCAACAACCTTTTTAACTCAGACAGCCAAGAAAGCAAATATTTGGAAATATATTTCAGAAAGAGCCATATAATATATTTTAAAATGATTTGGCA